TTAGCATCTAAAAACTCTGGAGGAGAATGTCAGTCATGTTGTTTTGGATGCTTGTAAATCTTCCCTAGGTTTTTGTGTAGCTTAGTATTGATGGGTGACTTGATGATGTTTTGGCATTCTGTGAGCTCATCACCATATTAAAACCTTTAAAAGAGTTACTTAGGGGTTAGATTCAGCTATGATGGAAACTTTGTAAGTAAATTTTAATTGTCTTTTACACTGGAAGTTATAGTGGAGAATTCGCTCTGAATATTGTTAACATAGTGTATGTTACATTTCCTTTGTGGGACCTTTACTTGTCTCACTTGTGTTGTCTTAAACCTATTTTGTTGGAAACCCACAGAACTATTTTTGCTTTGCGTGGCTAGCCAGCCTCTGGGCTGATTGGCTGTCCACCACCAGGGCAAGAAACCATGTTGTTGCAGCAAGTGTCTTCAGCCAGTGGGTAATTTACAGGTTTGCCTGGGACTCTTTAAAATACGATTTGTAAGTACTAGACACCTAGGTATGGTAGAGTAGAAAGAGCATGACTTTTGGAGTAGACTGTTTTGGGCACTGTGAAGCCTTGCTAAGTTGTTTGGCTTCTTCCAGCCTCACTATGAACCCTACATAGTCACCTCTCAAAACTGTGAAGGGTTAATGGGTTGGTGGTGACCACTGATACCACGTCAGATAAGAAGAAATTCACTCAGCAGTAAAGTCTGCATTTATTATTTATTTTTCTGGCTGTATGTCCATATAGCCTTTTTTTTTAATATTTATTCTTTGATTTCCATCTGCTTGAAAGGCAGAACAACAGAGAGGGGAGAGGAGGAAAAAGAGAGAGAGGTAGGGAGAGAGATATCTTCCATCTGCTGGTTTATTTCTCAAATGCCTGCAACAACTAAGGCTGAGCCAGAAGTGCCATCTGGGTATCCTACATGGGTGGTAGCAGCGCAAGTACTTGAGCCATCATTTACAACCTCCCAGGATGCATCAGCAGGAAGCTGGATCCTAATTGGAGTAGCCAGGATTTGAACTGGCACTCTGACATGAATGTGGATGTCTCAACTAGTAGTTTAACCTGCAGTACCACATGCTGGCCCCTATTTTATTTTATTTATTAGAGAGGCAGTGAAAGAAAGAGAGGAGGAACCTTCCAACTACTTGTTCACTCCCTAGATGTCCACAACATCTGGGGCTGAGAAAGGCCATAGTCAGGAGCCTGGGACTCAGTCCCTGTCTCCCACATGGTGGCGGAGACTCAAGTACTTCACCCATCACCTAAGGCCTTCCAGGCCATGCATTAGCAGGAAGCTGGAATTGGAACTGGAGGTAGATCTTGAACCCAGGGACTCTGCTGGGAATGTCTTTCATTTTTTTCTTTTTTTAAATATTAAATATTTATTTATTTGAGAGGTAGAGTTACAGAGAGGGAGAGAGAGAGAGACAGAGAGAAAGGTCTTCCTTTTGCTGTTGGTTCACCCTCCAATGGCCGCCCCGGCCGGCGCGCTGTGGCCTGCGCACCGTGCTGATCCGAAGGAAGGAGCCAGGTGCTTCTCCTGGTCTCCCATGGGGTGCAGGGCCCAAGCACTTGGGCCATCCTCCACTGCACTCCCTGGCCACAGCAGAGAGCTGGCCTGGAAGAGGGGCAACCGGGACAGAATCCGGCACCCCGACCGGGACTAGAACCTGGTGTGCCAGCGCCGCTAGGTGGAGGATTAGCCTATTGAGCTGCGGCGCCGTCCTAGTTGTGTCTTAACTGCTGTGCCAAATCCTCACTCCTGTATTTCAAAATTAGTTTTATTAAAGCCAAGAAAATGAACTTAATTAAGTACAGTATTGGTTTAAAAATGACTGAGCTTTAGGTTATGGACTACTTCTGGAAGAAGAAAATGACCCCAGGTAGTATCAAGTCTGAAAAGGCGGCGTTTGGGCTTCTGTGTAGAAGGGACCACATTTGCAGCAAGCATACAGGAGGTATGTGTAGAAGTGGTTTCTGCCTTACATAGTCCCCTTGCTGTTTTGTACTCACATACTTCCTTTTTTTCTGTGGTTCTGAAACAAAAACAAAACACAGACTCTGTGACTGCTGAAGGAGCTTTTGAATTCTTTCTAAAGAGGAAGCTGACTTTACCTAACCAGCGCACTTCCTGTGTATGTTACATCCGTTAAAGGGTGAGACAGGAGTAGGTGGTGTAGTGCTCGGCTGTAGAGTTTCCTCTTCGTAGTGGGGTTTGAAATGTGTTAAAGCGCTGTGACACAGGGTCTTCCTTTCGTCTGTTATCTGTAACGTGGGGACACATCACCTGGGTGTCGTGTACAAACAGCTTCTGCTTCAGTAGTCCTGGGTGGTGTCTGAGATTCGGGAATTCTAACTGTATCTCAGATGCCATCTGAACATCATAAGACATTATCTCCCTGGGTCTTTTGAAAAGTCCTTTAAAACATATGTAGCTAACTTTATGTTTTTAAAAATGTGCTTTATCTTTTAATTCCAGTTTCTACAAATATTAATAAAAAATTTATTTACTTATTTGAGAGGCAGAGAGAAATAGACAGAGCCCTTCTGCTGGTTTATTCCCCAGATGCCTGCAGCAGCCAGGGCTGGGTCAGGTGAATGGAGGAGCCAGGAACTCCTTCCGGGTCTCCCACATGGGTGGCAGGAACCAGGGTACTTGGGCCATTGTCTGCTGCCTCGCAGGTGCATTAACAGGAAGTTGGAACAGAAATGGAGGCAGGCCTCATTCTCAGGCACTGCTAGAGGATGAGGGTGTCCCAAGTGGCCTCTTAACTCACTGTGCCATCACACCTTTTATGTTTACATGGTTGTGAGCATTTCTGGGAGATAATGTTTTGCTTTTTAAATTTTTTTAAAAAGATTTATTTATTTATTTGGAAGGCAGAGTTACACAGAGGTAGAGGCAGAGAGAGAGGTCTTCTCTCTGCTGGTTCACTTCCCAAATGGCTGCAATGGCTGGAGCTGGGCCAATCTGAAGCCAGGAGCCAGGAGCTTCTTCTGAGTCTCCCATGTGGGTTCAGGGGACCAAGGAGTTGGGCCATCTTCTGCTGCTTTCCCAGGCCATAGCAGAGAGCTGGAACAGAAGTGGAGCAGCCAGGATTCATATGGGATGCTGGCATTGCAGGCAGTGGCTCTACCCGCTGTGCCACAGCACCAGCCCTGACAAAATAAATTTTATTATCTGAATTGTTAGATACTATATAGACAACCTGTTCGTTTTCCAGATATGTGTGAGATATAAAGCTCTCCTGTCATCTTTTCTAACAGGACTCCTGGGCACTGTGAATTTAGGGCAGTGTTGCCCATGGGGTAGGCTGCAGAATTACGGGTGTGCTTGTGAAAAATGAGAACTCCATCCATAAGCTCCTCCTACTCTGGAATCCAACTCTGCCTTCTGAGTTACAGCAAGCAGCTGACAGTTACTGCTGACAAGTCGTGGTTTGGATTTGAGAGAGTTTTGTTTTTTTGTTTTTGAAGATTTATTTTATTTATGTGAGAGGCAGAGTTATAGACAGAGAGGGGGAACAGGGAGAGAGAGGTTCGCCATCTACTGTTCACTCCCCAGATAGCTGCAATGGCCGGGGCTGGGCTAAGCCAAAGCCAAGAGCTGGGAGCTTATCTGGGACTCCCATGTGGGTGCACTGTCCAAGGACTTGGGCCATCTTCCAATGCTTTCCAGGTACATTAGCAGGGAGCTGGATCAGAAGTAGAGCAGCTGGGACTTGAACTGACAACCAGAGAATTTTATTTTTAAAGATTTACTTATTGATATATTTGAAAGGCTGAGTTACAGAGAGAGAGAGAGAGAGAGAGAGAGAGAGAGAGAGAATCTTCCATCTCCTGGGTCATGGGTCACTCCTCAAATGGCTGCAAAGGCCAGTTCTGGCCCAGGAGCCAGGAGCCAGGAGCTTCAGTTACGAAGGATGGGGCTTTTAGAATGGTAAGATGTTAGTCATATGGTACAGTTTCAGTTAAATAGGATGAGTCAATTCCAGAGATCTAACATACAAGGTACAGCAGTTGTTAATACTACATTGTAGGGGCTGGTGCTATGGAGTAGTGGACTAAGCCTCTGCCTGGGGTACTGGCATCCCACACGGGCACTAGTTCAAGTCCCGGCTACTCCTCTTCCACTCTAGCTCTCTGCTATGGCTGGGAAAGCAGTAGAAGATGGCCATAGTGCTTGGGCCCATGTGGGAGACCCGACAGAAGCTTCTGGCTCCTGGCTTTGGTTCGGCCCAGCTCCAGTCATTGCAGTCATTTGGGGAGTGAACCAGTGGATGGAAGACCTTTCTGTCTCTCCCTCTCTCTGTTTGTAGCCCTGCCTCTCAAATAAATAAGTAACATCTTAAAAAAAAAATACTCTATTGTGTGAGGCTGGTGCTGTGGTGCAGTAGGTTAATCCTCTGCCTGTGGCGCCGGCATCCCATATGAGCACCGATTCTAGTCCCGGGTGCTCTTCTAGAAAGAAGAGCTGGATGGAATCCAGCTCTCTGCTGTGGCCCGGGAGTGCAGTGGAGGATGGCCCAAGTGCTTGGGCCCTGCACCCGCATGGGAGACCTGGAGGAAGCACCTGGCTCCTGCCTTCGGATCAGCACAGCTCCAGCCGTAGCAGCCATTTAGGGGGTGAACCAACGGAAGGAAGATCTTTCTCTCTGTCTCTCCCTCTCACTGTCTATAACTCTACCTCTCAAATAAATAAATAAAAAATCTTTTAAAAAATACTCTATTGTATACTTGGAATTTGTTAAGTGTTCCGAACCACACATATTCAAGAATGCAACCATGTGAACAGATGGATATGTTAATTAGCTTGGCTGTAATAATTACTTCACTATGTGTAAGTGTGTCAAAATGTTTCTTATACCCTAACTATATATAATTTCAATTTAAAAGTTTAAAAATTATGTGGTGCCTTTTGGTTATTATTAATGGTACCTGTGGATTAAACTTTTCTACAGATATTGATTTTGAGTTTTTATGTTATTTTTCTTTTTAGATCAAAGAGAGTGCATCACAGACGAGGGATGTCCTCAGACAACATTTTAATGATTTAAAGGGAACCCTTGGGAAGCTCCTGGATGAGCGACTGGTGACCCTGTTGCAAGAGGTGGATACCATTGAACAGGAGACCATTAAACCACTGGATGACTGCCAAAAGCTCATTGAGCATGGAGTTACCACTGCAGAGGACTTGGTCCGAGAAGGTGGGGGCCAGGGAGCCCAGTAAATGTGGTAAAAATCCTCAAGATTCCAGAAATCAGCCTTTTAAGCAATTTATTATTTTTTTATCTGAGCAAAAAGCAGATCAAGAGCAAGAAAGATCTTTTTTCTTTTTTCCTTTTTTTTTTTTTTTTGACAGGCAGAGTTAGTGAGAGAGAGAGACAGAGAGAAAGGTCTTCCTTCCTTTGGTTCACCCTCCCAGTGGCTGCTATGGCCCGCGTGCTACGCAGATCCCAAGCCAAGAGCCAGGTACTTCTCCTGGTCTCCCATGCAGGTGCAGGGCCCAAGCACTTGGGCCATCCTCCACTGCACTCCTGTGCCACAGCAGGGAGCTGGACTGGAAGAGGAGCAACAGGGACATAACAGGCGCCCCAACGAGGACTAGAACCTGGGGTGCCGGCGCCGCAGGCGGAGGATTAGCCAAGTGAGCCACGACGCTGGCCAGCTTTGTTAATTTCTTAGGTTGCCATCAAGTTTCTTGCCATCTATGGGGTGCTTAGAATGTGACCACTATGGGTTAGTTTATAGTATGGATAATGGCAGGTATACAGTGACAGATCCTAGGGTAAATGCATTATTAGTGTTCATTATAATCATTTACAAAACACAAAGGAGTAAGAGATTTTTCTCAAGTTATTCCATGATGATAGTATCTGATTCATTGTTGACAGAATGATTTTAAGGTCATTTTGAGTCTGTTTAAAATATATGTTTATCTCACAGTGTTCATGGTTCATAGAATTTAATGCCATCGTTCCTTTCAGAAGGTTAAAAAATGTAATTGACGTCAGTTCTGAAATTGTAGTTGTTAGATTTTCCTGTTTTTAGCTTGCGATATTAATTAAGTCATGTGTAGATCTTGCTTGTTGCTTTCTTGCACATATACCTTCCTTCAGCATTTTTTTTAAAGATTTATTAATTTATTTGAAAGAGTTACACAGAGAGAGGAATAGACAGAGAGACAGAGAGATCTTCCATCTGCTGGTTCACACCCTTAGTGGCTGCAATGGCCTGGGCTGGGCCAGGCCAAAACCAGGATTCAGGAGCTTCTTCTGGATCTCCCATGTGGGTGTAGAGGCTCAAGCACTTTAGCTATCCTCTGCTGCTTTCCCAGGTGCATTAGCAGGGAGCTGGATCAGAAGTGGGACAGCCTGGTCTGGAACTGGTTCCCATATGGCATGCTGGCATTGCATGCAGCGGCTTTACCCAGTACTTCAGGATGCTGACTCCCCCTTCAACTTTTATTTATTTTTTTTAAGATTTATTTATTTATTTGAAAGGCAGAGTTACAGATAGAAGGGGAGACAGAGAGATCTTTGAGTTGCTGGTTTACTCCCTAAATGGCCGGAGTGGCTGGGTCTGAGCCAGGCCAAACCCAGGAGCCAGGAGCTTCATCTGGGTCTCTCACCTGGGTGGCAGGGGTCCAAGTACTTGGGCCACCATTCACTGCTTTCCCAAGTGCATTAGAAGGGAGCTGGATAGGAAATGAAGCAGCCGGAACTCAAACCAACTCCCATGTGGGATCCCGGCCCCCAACGTTGGTTTTTCTTAAGTCCAGTTTGGGGTTCATGCTCAGCAGGGGAGACATATAAGCCAAGAAAGATGTAACAACTTCTGGGAACACAGAGGAGGAAGTGTTTCACTCTGTCTGGAGAAGTGCTGATAGCTTCCTGTAGGAGGAATTCCACAGGGGCTCAAAGAAATTCCTGAGGTAGACAGGAAAAAGAGGGGGTAACAGCGTCATTCCAAGCGGAGGTCACAGCGTGTGTGGCGTGAATGGCATGTTTAAGGATCTAGTGAAGTAGCTGAAGTTGCACGCTTCCTGAATCATATCTGCATTTTTTACAAATGAGCCTGTCTGCACTTTGGAAACTATGTTTTCCATTGTGAGGCTGGGGGCACGAAACACTGATTTGAAACTTGCAGCCATAGTCCGCTTAGGAAATGGTAAAGGCAGTGGCCACTGGAGATGAGGCAGGCTAGCTTTGAGAGATTTTTCAGAGGTAGAATTATTGATGATTTTACTGGTGGCTGACTTTATTTGAATTATTTTTAATTGATATTTATTAATTACATATTTACAGAGTATGGCTGATTATTGGTGATCCCCTCATTAAGGATGTATGAGAAAAGGAGGGCTTTGAGATGACCAAAACCAATGTTGTTTTATGAATGGGTGTGAAGTGGTGCTGTTTCCTAAGATAGGAAACCGAGGTGGGGAGGCTTTCGTGGGTGGTTAGGCGCTTGGTTTTGGTGATGTTGAGTTTGAGGTGTTTAAGATGGAAACATGGATATGAGAAGGAGAAATCATGCCTGGAGATGTCAGTATGCAGTGAATGGCATGTGCATCAAATCTGAATCCATGAATGAAGAGAATCATGAGGGTGCCATGTAATGTAAGAACAGCAAGTGGCAGAGAGGAGGGCACTCAGGGATGCCAACACTGAGAGGATTAGAGGGGGAGCCAGGGAGAGAGACTAGATAGCACCCGTTCTGCAAGGTGAGTGCTGTGAGTGACACAGCATGGAAAGTGTGGATGCTCAGGGGTCTGTCACTCCAGCTGGAAATCCATCCTCCTTTAGCCCCACGTACAATCTGACACTAGTGTTATTTTTCCAAGCAGATTACATTTTTGTGTTATCTTCAGTGAGAAGTGTTTGTCACTGAGCATGGGAGTGGCCTTGAGAAAATTCTCTTCTTAGCAGTTCCACTGAATGGCTCTTCCTTGAGGCTTTGCATTTGGCAGCAGACCCAGAGACAGCGCTGCATGGGTCAGGGGCACACCCATTACCCTGAGGACTGAGAAGTGTTTATTTTACAAAGTAAATCCTGGGAGCCAGTGTCGTGGCACAGCAGGTTAAGCTGCCACTCGCATCCCATATGAGTGCCGGTTCAAGTCCTGGCTGTTCCACTCTCTATCCAGCTCCCTGCTAATGGCCTGGGAAAGCAATGGAGGATGGCCCAAGTACTTGTGCTCCTGTATCCGTGTAGGAGACCAAGATAAAGCTTCTGGCTCCTGGCTTCAGCCTGGCCCCAGCCCTGGCCATTGCAGCCAATTGGGGAGTGATCAAAGATCTCTTTGTCTCTCTCTGTCTTTGCCCCTCTCTCTTTAACTTTGACTTTCAAATTAAAAAAAAAGTAAATCCTGTGAGGTACATACATGTTTATTAAAGTATTTTATGCTTGAGTTTTTTGTATTTCAAAAATATTTGTTGTTTCAAACTCTTCCCCCTTCTCCTCACACAGGATAAAAGGTTGTTTGTGGGGGCGGGCATTTGGATCAGCGGGTTAAGCTGCCACTTGGGACACTGACGTTCCATGGCACAGTACTCAGTCCTGGCTCCTCTGCTCTGACTCAGCTCCCTGCTGATGGATCCTGGGAGGCAGCAGATGACAGCTCATGTACTTGGGCCACTGCCAACTGTGAGGGAGACCCCAGTGGAGTTCTGGGCTCTGGCATTTGGGGAGTGATTCAGTGGATAGAAGATCTCTCTTGGCTGGCGCCATGGCTCACTAGGCTTAGGCTAATCCTCTGCCTGTGGCGCCAGTACCCCGGATTCTAGTCCTGGTTGGGGTGCCAGATTCTGTTCTGGTTGTTCCTCTTCCAGTCCAGCTCTCTGCTGTGGCCCGGGAGTGCAGTGGAGGATGGCCCAAGTGCTTGGGCTCTGCATCTGCATGGGAGAGCAGGAGGAAGCACCTGGCTTCTGGCTTCGGATCGGCGCAGCCATTTGGGGGGTGAACCAACAGAAGGAAGACCTTTCTGTCTCTCTCACTGTCTAACTCTACCTGTCAAAAAAAAAAAAAAAAAGGAAAAAAGAAAAAAGATCTTTCTTGCTCTTGATCTGCTTTTTGCTCAGATAAAAAAATAATAAATTGCTTAAAAAGCTGATTTCTGGAATCTTGAGGATTTTTAAAAATCTACTTGAAAGAGAGAGAGAGAAAATCTTTAGTCTGTTTGTTCACTTTCCAGATGGCCACAATGGCCTAAGCTAGGCCAGGCCGAAGCCAGGAGCCCAGAGCTCTATCTGAGTCTCCCACGTGGGTGGTAGGGGGCTCTGCTGCTTTCCCAGGAGCATTAATAAGAAGCTGAATTGGAAGCAGAGCAGCCAAGGTTCAAACCCGTGCCCCTTATGAGATGTTGGAGTCACAGGCGTGGATTAACCTGCTGTGCCCGAACACTGGCCCCTGGTTTTGAGAATTTTGAGATGTGTTCAATCTGTCTCTGTTTTAATTTTGGAAATACCATATGGTTTCAGCTTGAGTAACTAGAGCACATTTGGGTGGAAAGAATTCTGACTGCTCCTTAGGACTGTGCAAGGACAAGGAAATTGGTCATTATGCTTCTGTATAGCACTTCTTATTCTGTTGAGTATTTTCTAAGCTAATATATAATATTCTCTTAGAAAAACATAACTGTCTCTTTTGGCTTGTTAAGACCTGGGGCCCTGTTGATTTGGCCAGTATAGTATTTTGTGGTGGCTCTTGTTGGAATTGATCAAGATTCTGTAGGATGGTTGGGAAAAATCCTTGGATCTGTTGCTTTTGAGCAAAATAGGTCAACAAACCAGATTTGCTTCATATAGAGCAAAATCATCCATCACTGGCAAAATGTTGTCTTTATAGGCCCCCTCTTCTCTTGGGTTTAACGTAATCATTTCTAAAATAGCTTTTCCTTTCGCTATTTGGAAATTTAACTGGTATCAATTAAGAACTGTTTGCAAGAAAACCTGAGCCCCGCATAAACACACGTTGTCTTGATTATAACCTGACCATTTCCCAGTGTTCTAATTCTCTTGTTCTTGGTTGTAGGTGAGGTCGCCATTCTTGGTGGTCTAGGAGAGCAGAATGAGAAACTGTGGAGCTTTACCAAAAAGGCTGCACACATCCAGCTGGACAGGTAGGAGAGTTTGTGCCTTTTAGACTGACTTAAAAACTGTGACACCTATTGCTTCTCTGCCTTTTGTCTAAGATCAAGTATAAGCTATCTGTTCCCTCCTTTTTTTTTTTTTTTTAAGATTTATTTAATTTATTTGAAAGGCAGAGCCACACAGAGGCAGAGAGAGACAGAAAGAGAGAGGTCTTCTATCCTCTGGTTCATTCCCCAGTTGGCCACAGCAGCTGGAGCTGTGCAGGTCACAAGAGCCAGGAGCTTTTCTCGGGTCTGCCACATGGGTGCAAGTGCCCACGGACTTGGGACATCCTCCACTGCTTTCCCAGGCCACAGCAGAGAGCTGGAGCAGAAGTGGAGCAGCTGGGACTTGAACTGGCGGCCACATGGGATGCCGGCGCTGCAGGTGGTGGCCTCACCCACTATGCCACAGCACTGGCCCCTGATTACAAAGAAGAAAGAGTATATTTCTCAAAGTTTTTTTTTTTTTTTTTTTAAGATTTATTTATTTGAAAGGCAGAGTGATAAACAGAGAAAGATTGTTTTAAATATTTATTTTATTTGAAAAGCAGAGTGACAGAAACAGATATCTCCCATCTGCTGTTTCACTCTCAAATGGCTACCATAGGCAGGGCTGGGCCAGGCTGAAACCTGGAGCTTGGAACTCCATTCCGGTCTCCCACATGGGTGGCAGGGACTCAAGTCCTTGACCCATCATCTCATGCTTCCCAGGTACAGTAGCAGAAAGCTAGATTCCAAGCAGAGTAGCTGAGACTCAAACTGGTACCCTGTTAGCAGATGTAAGTGTCTCAAGTAGTGGCTTAAGCTGGTGCCCCACAATACCCACCCCAAAACTAGATCTTTTCATATAAATTATGGTCCTGCCAATTTTGTGTTTTGCTTATATTTATTTAGGAAGGTATTTTTTTAAAAGATTTATTTATTTACTTGAGGGGCAAAATTACACACAGAGAAATGGAGAGACAGAAAAAGAGAGGGAGAGAGAGAGAAAGGTCCTCCATCCACTGGTTCATTTCTCAAATGGCTGCAGCAGCCGGATCTGAGCCAATCCAAAGCCAGAAGCTTCTTCCGAGTCTCCCACGTGGGTGCAGGGGCCCAAGCACTTGGGCTATCTTCTATTGCTTTCCGAGGCCACCAGCAGAGACCAGCCAGAACTTGAACTGGCGCCCATATGGGATCCCAGCACCATAGGCGGATACCTAACCTACTCTGCCATGGTGCTGGCCCCCAAGAGAATCTTCTTTTCTTTTTTAAAGATTTATTTGAAAGGCAGCATTGGAGAGGGACACAGAGAGACAGGGAGAGAGACAGGGAGAGAGAGAGAGAGAGAATCTTCCATCTGCTGGTTCACTCTCCAGATGGTTACAACAGCCAGGGCTGGGCCAGACCAAAGCCAGGAGCCAGGAGCTTCCTTCAGGTCTCCCACATGGATGGAGGGGCCCAAGCAATTGATCTGCATTCTGCTGCTTTCCCTGGCACATTAACAAGGAGCTGGATTGGAAGTGGAAGAACTGGGGATAGAACTGGTGTCCATATGGGATGGCGGCACTGGAGGTGGCAGCTTTAACAGCTGTAGTATCAACACCAGTCCCGGGAAGAGAATCGTTAAGTAATATCTTACAAACTCTCCACTGCCATTAGAATTATTTACTGGGGTGTCAGTGTCCTTCTTGCATGTGACTTATCTAAAATATTCCTGCTTGGGCAGGCGTTGTGGTGCAGTGGGATGGGCTGCCACCTGGGATGCCTCGAATAGTGTTCCACCTCTTCTTCCCATCTACTTTCCTGCTTAATTCAACTGGAAAGCACCAGACAATGGCTTAAGCACTTGGGGTTGCTGCCACCCACATGGCAAACCTGGATGACTCCTGGTTTTGGCTGCCTGACCCAGCACTGGCTGTATTGTCAGCATCGGGGGAATGAACTAGGAGATGGGAAGATATTTTTCCCTGTCTCTGTCTCTGTTTCTCTCTCATTTTCTCCTCCTTCTTTTTCTTTCTCCCTTTCTTCCCCTCTCTCCCTATCTCTTTCTCTCTGCTTCTTTGTCACTCTGCCTTTCAAATAAATCAATCAATAAATTAAATAATAAAGTAAACTATTCCTTCTGTTTTTAACTCTCAGTTAAAAGTCTCATAAGCACATGGACTTTGTTTCCTCAGCTTGCCAGAAGTGCCTTTACTGGTTGATGTGCCTTGTTTATCTGCTCAGTTGGATGACTCAATTCTTAACATAGTGAAAGACCACATTTTTAAGCATGGAACAGTAGCATCTCGCCCACCAGTACAGATAGAAGAACTAATAGAGAAACCTGGAGGCATCATAGTCCGCTGGTGTAAGGTAAGTAATTCAGAACTGAAGGGCTTCAGCACTATAGATTTGACATTTGGGAGCAAACTTAACGAATTCAGGACTCTTCTCATTTCTTTTTAAAAAGTTATTCAATTAATTTGAGAGAAAGAGAGGGCTTTCATCCCCTCATTCACTTTCCAAATACTCACAGTGGGCTGGGGCTGAGCCATGGCTGAAGCTGGGAGCCAGGAACACAATCCAGGTCTCCTACGTGGGTGGGAGAAATCCAGTTACTTGAGCTGCGACTGCTGCTTACCAGGGTGTGTACCGGCAGGAAGCTGGGTCAGGAGCCAGAGCAGGGTGCCACGTGAAGGTGCTCCAGTGTGTGATGGGGGGTCTTGGCTGCTAAGAGAAACAGCAGCTCTCCATTTCTGTGTACGTTAAAGTGAAACATTGACAGTGGATATAGAAGGTAGTAATGTTTCCTGTTCAATGTAGAACTAGTACCTTTGAATAAGGTTGTTATTTTTAATCTTATTTATTTTATTTGAAAGAGTTACAAAGAGAAAAAGAGAGAGAGAGAAAGAGAGATTTTCCATGCGTTGGTTCACTCTTCAGATGGCCATAACAGCTGGAGCTGGGCCAGGCCCAAACTTGGAGCCAGGAGCTTTCTCCAGGTCTCCGACGTGGGTGCATCAGCTCAAGCACTTGGGTCATCTTCTGCTTCTTTCCCAGGCACTTTAGCAGGGAACTGAATTGGAAGTGAAGCAGCTGGGAATCAAATTTGCTGCCCATATGGGGTGCCAGCACTGCATGCAGCGGCTTAACCCTCTATGCCATTGTGCCAGCCCCTGAAATAAGATTATTAAAGTAAGGGTTCATTACACTTAGCATTGCCAAGGATTTATGTGTTAAATCATATTATGTAGATGAGTTACCATATTTTAAATAGAAACTTTGTCTTATTTTTGGCCTTAGCTTTTTTTTTTTTTTTTTTTAGGATTTATTTATTTATTTGAAAGGCAGAGTTACAGAGAGACAGAAACAGAGAGAGAAAGATCTTCCATTTGCTGGTTCACTCCCCAAATGGCCACAGTGGCCAGAGCTGGGCCGATCCAAAGCCAGGAGTTTCTTCCAGATCTCCCACATGGGTGCAGGGGCCCAAAGATTTGGGACATCCTCTACTGTTTTCCCAGGCCATAGCAGAGAGCTGGATCTGAAGTGGAGTAGCCAGACCTTGAACTGCTATCCATATGGGATGTCAACACCACAGGTGGCGGCTTTACCTGCTATGGCGCAGCACCGGCCCCAGCATCTTTTTTTTTTTTTTTTTTAAGATTTATTTTATGTATTATTTATTTATTTTGAAAGAGAGAGAGAGAGATCTTCCATCTATTGGTTCACTCCCTAGATAGCTGTAATGGTGGGGCTGAGCCAGGCTGAAACCAAGAGCCAGGAGCTTCATCTGGGTCTCCGATGTGGGTGCAAGGGGTCCAGACACTTGGGTCATATTCTGTTGTTTTCTCCAGGTGCATTAACAGGGAGCTGGATTGGAAGTAAAACAGCCTGGACATGAAGTGGTTCCCACATGAGATGCTGGCATCCTAAGCAATGGCTTTATACACTGTGCCACAATGCTGGCTCCACTCATTTATTTATTGTTAGAGATTTATTTATTTATTTGAAAGGCAGAGTTAGAGAGAGAGAGGGAAAGAATCTTCCATCCACTGGTTCACTCCTTAGATAACTGCAAGAGCCAGGGCTGGCTCAGGCTAAAACTAGGAGCCAGGAGCTTCATCTGGTCTCCCACCTGGGTGCAGGGCCCAAGCACTTGGGCCTTCTTCTGTTGCTTTCCCAAGCGTATTAGCAGGGAGCTGGATCAGATGTGAAGCGACCAGGGTGTGAACAGACACCCATATGGGATGCTGGTGTCACAGTTGGGGTCTTTACTTACTACACCACAACACAACACCAGCCCCTAAAGATATATTTTATTATTTATTTGAAAGACAGAATGAGAGCGAAAGAGAGAGATCGAGAGAGAGGGAGAAAGAAATCTTATATCAACTGGTTTACTTAACAAATGACTGCAGTGAGTAGGGCTGGGCTAGGCTGAAGCTTGGAGCCTGGAATTCCATCTGGGTCTCCCATGTGTGTGGCAGTGGCCCAGAGAGTTGGGCCATCTTCTACTGCTTTCCTAGGTGCATTAGCAGGGAGCTGGATCAGAAGTGGAGCAGGGAGGCCAGTGCTGTGGCTCGGTAGGGTAAAGCTGCCTTCTGTAGCGTTGACATCCCATATGGGTACTAGTTTGAGTTCTGGCTGCCCCACTTCCATTTATTTTTATTTTTATTTTTTAAGATTTATTTAGGGGCCAACGCTGTGACATAGTGGGTAAAACTGCCGCCTGCAGTGCCAACATCCCATATGGGCACCGGTTTGCATCCCAGCTGCTGCACTTCTGATCCAGCTCTCTACTATGGCATGGGAAAGCAGTAGAAGATGCCTCAAGTCTTTGGGCCCCTGCACCCGCATGGGAGACCCAAAAGAAGCTCCTGGCTCTTGGCTTCCAATCGGTGGAGCTCTGGCTGTTCGGCAAATTGGGGAGTGAACCAGTGGATGAAAAACCTTTCTCTTTCTCTGCCTCTCCTCTCTCCATGTAACTCTGCCTTTCCAACAAATAAATAAATGTTTTAAAAAAATAATTTATTTATTTATTTGAAAGGCCAAGTTACAGAGAGCTAGAGAGAGAGAGAGAGAGAGATCTTCCATACTTTGGTTCACTCCACAAATGGCCACAACTGGTGGAGTTGGACTGATCTGAAGCCAGAAGCCAGCAGCCTCTTCTGGGTCTCCCTTGTAGGTGCAGGGGCCCAAGGACTTGGGCTGTCTTCTACTGCTTTTCCAGGCACGTTAGTAGGGAGTTGGATTAGAAATAGAGCAGCCAGAACTTGAACTGGTTCCCATATGGGATGCTGGCACTGCAGGTGGTGGCTTTATCTGCTGTGCCACAGTGCTGGCCCTGTAAATATGTCATAAATTAAAAAGTGCAGCAGCCAGAAGGCAAACCATTGCTCGTAAGGGATGCTGATGTCATAGGCAGTGACTGTATCTGCTACACCACAATGCCAGCCCCCATATTATGGGCTATTTGTATTTCTTATTTTATAGAATGCTTATTTATATCATTTGCCCATTTTTCTATTGGTTGTCTCTCACTTTTAGGAATCTTACATGTCCTGTATAGTAATTCCTTCGTATGTGTATGAGATAATTATAGGATACGTATTCTTGAATTTTAATTATTTTATCTTTGGCATTATTGTTTAGAAAAATGCCAATTTTTCAGAGGAAGTAAAGTTTTCTTTCTTTTTCATTTATTTATTTATTTTAAGATTTATTTGTTTGTTTGAAAGTCAGAGTTACACAGAGAGAGGAGAGGCAGAGAGAGAGAGAGTTCTTCCATCTGATGGTTCACTCCCCAATTGGCCGCAACGGCCGGAGGTGCACCGATCCGAAGCCAGGAGCCAGGAGCTTCTTCCGGGTCTCCCACGTGGGTGCAGGGGCCCAAGGACTTGGGCCGTCTTCTAGTGCTTTCCCAGGCCAAAACAGAGAGCTGGATCGGAAGTGGAACAGCCAGGTCTCGAACCAGCGCCCATTTGGGATGCTGGCGCTTCAGGCCAGGGCATTAACCTACTGTGCCACAGCACTGGCCCCTCTTCTTCTTCTTCTTTTTTTTTTAAATATTTATTTATTTTAAAGATAGAGGGTCAGTGAATGATGAGCTAGAGACAGAGATAGAAAGAGATCTTCTAGCTGGTGGTTCACTCCTCAAATGCTCATGACAGCTAGACCTGGGCCAGCCTGAAACCAGGCGTCTGAACCTCCATCCAGTTCTCTCACTTGGCCGGCAGGAACCCAAGTACTTGGGCCATCATCATCTGCCTTCCCAGGGACATTAGCAAGAGGCTGGATAGGAAGTGGAAGAGCCAGGACTTGAACCAGGCATTGTGATATGGGATGCCAGTGCCCCATGTGGCTTAACCTTAATACTGTGCCACAATGCTGGCCCCAGCAAAGCTTTTAAAATCTGACTAGAAGGTAGGACTCATGGACCAATAAAGAAATGAAGGGTAGTAGTCATACAGATTTCCTATAGTGTTCCCAAGAACAGCCCGTAATCAGTACATGGGCCTATTTTCAGTACATTGTCCCTTTCAGAGTTCTTAAACGGTGGTGCTGAGAGAGTTATTATTTGTTTTTAAATTAACATAAAGCCTTTTTCCTTAGGTGGATGATGACTTCACAGCCCAAGATTACAGGCTTCAGTTCCGTAAATGTACTTCAAATCATTTTGAGGACGTGTATGTTGGTTCTGAAACAGAATTCATTGTACTGCACATAGACCCCAATGTGGATTACCAGTTCCGGGTCTGCGCCCGAGGAGACGGCCGACAGGAGTGGAGCCCTTGGAGTGTCCCCCAGACGGGCCATTCTACCCTCGTGCCTCATGGTATGTGGCTGCCGTCTCCCTCCTGAAGCTTTGCTGCCTGCTGTGTCAAGGCCAGCATACTGAAAACCTTATCCTTTCCTTTTATTTTTTATAAATTGTATTGGAGAGACAGAGACAGGCAAAGACAGATACAGAAATCTCCCATCTGATGGTTCATTCTCTAAATGCCTAGATGTCAGATCCAGAAAATTAATTCAGGGCTCTTACAAGTGTGACAGGGGCCCAACTTTCTGAGACATCAGCTGTACTTCCCAGGGTATGCATTAACTGGAAGCTGAAACTGGGAGCAGAGCTGAGGCACAAACCCAGGCCCTCTGATATGGGATGAGCATGTCCCACACAGCCTCTTGACTCTGCCCCAAATGCTGCCCTGAAGCTTTTTCTAATAAGTCCTGCATTGGTGAAAACACATGGAATGTGTAATTTTATTCAAATTTCTTTGTTTTCATTAGTTCTTCAGAGTCTGGAAATAAGGTTCAATAGTATTCTTAGTATCACCTAAAACCAAAGATTAAAAATATCGTATGTGATACTGATTTTCAAAAAATTTTTAAAAGATTTATTTTATTTATTTGAAAGACAGAGTTACAGAGAGAGGTAGAGACAGAGAGAGAGAGAGAGGTCTTCCATTCTCTGGTTCACTCCCCAGATGGCTGTAACAGCTGGAGCTCTGCTTATCTAAAGCCAGGAGCCAGGAGCTTCCTCGGGTCTCCCACATGGGTGCAAAGGGCCTAAAGACTTGGGCCATCTTTTACTGCTTTCACAGGCCACAGCAGAGAGCTGGATCAGAAGAGGAGCAGCTGGGACTCAAACTGGTGCTCATATGGGATTCTGGCACTGTAGGCGGCGGCTATACCCGCCACGCCACAGTGCTGACTCCAGGCATTTTCTTTCTTTATTTTTTTTTAAGATTTATTTATTTATTTATTTGAGAGGTAAGAGTTACAGATAGTGAGAGGGAGAGACAGAGAGAAAGGTTCCTGGTCTCCCATTTGGGTGCATGAGCCCAAGCACTTGGGCGATCTTCTACTGCTTTCCCAGGCTACAGCAGAGAGCTGGATTGGAAGAGGAGCAGCTGGGACTAGAACCGGCGCCCATATGGGTTGTCGACGCCAAGGCAGAGGATTAACCTACTGTGACACAGTGCCAGCCCCAACGCTCCAGGCATTTTCTTAAAACACTTATTATTTGAAACTGGTCTCTCTCCTGCATTAATTTTTAAATATGTAGATTCATTTCTTAATTAGTTTTTAGTCAAGTTGTAATCTCGATTATATTTGAACCATGATTTTATTAGGTAGGAGAAAACACTGGTTTGATTTTTCTCTGCTTAATTGTATAAGAATGTATGAAAATTTGTTTTGTAATTGTTGGCACTGACCTTGGCACCTTGTTCCACTTCATTTCACTGAGCTTCCCCTATAACCGCTAAGTGAGTAGTCTCTCCCACTTCCAAGTTTTATTTTATGTGTCTGTATTAAAGAGATCTCACAAGAGAATTCTAATGATTTTCATTATCTTTGCTTTTGAAGAGTGGACAACTGGCTTTGAGGGGTACAGTCTGAGCAGTCGAAGGAATATAGCCCTCCGGAATGATTCTGAATCCTCGGGGGTCCTCTACTCCAGTGCACCGACTTATTTCTGTGGGCAGACGTTAACATTCAGGCAAGTAGACAAACAGGTGGTAGGGTGTCGTGCGTGGACATGTGTGAGCTTTGAGTACAAAGTAGCCCGAGGTTATTATATCATTTATATGCAGTGACATTTTGGGGTGATTTCTTTATGTTTCTTTCTTTGAGTTGTTTCACCTATTTTCATGGGGTTTCTGTGAAGATTAAATGAGGTAAGATAAAATACACAGTGATTGGTACTTAAAATATTCTTGGTAAATAGAATATTTCTCAATCTAAATTCAGAGGCCAGGATTTCTTCTATTTGTGAATTCATAAGAACATGTCTCTTTGAGAGATAACACTGAAGCTGGCGCCGTGGCTCACTAGGCTAATCCTCCGCCTTGCGGAGCCCAGCTCTCTGCTGTGGCCAGGGAGTGCAGTGGAGGATGGCCCAAGTGCTTGGGCCCTGCACCCCATGGGAGACCAGGATAAGTACCTGGCTCCTGCCATCGGATTAGCGCAGTGCGCCGGCTGCAGCGTGCCGGCTGTGGTGGCCATTGGAGGGTGAACCAACGGCAAAGGAAGACCTTTCTCTCTGTCTCTCTCTCTCTCACTGTCCACTCTGTCTGTCAAAAAAAAAAAAAAAAAAAAGAGAGAGAGAGAGATAGATAACACTGAAAGCAAGCCTGTGGGACTGGACCAGGAACCCAGAACTTAATCTTGGTCCCCTTTGTGGATGGTAGGAACCCAAGTTCTTGAGCCACACCTGCTGCATCCCAGGGTATGTGTTAGAGGAAGTTAGAATTGGAAGTAGTGGTGGGACTGGAACTCAAGCATTCAATATGGGATGTGGGCATCTCATTATTGAAAACCTTATACCTCGTGTGTTATACTGGAAGAACACCTAAATCTTAATAAGCAGAAAAGACCAAAGGAGGCCGGCACTGCAGCTCACTAGGCTAACCCTCCGCCTGTGGTGCCGACACACCAGGTTCTAGTCGTGGCGCTGGATTCTGTCCTGGTTGCCCCTCTTCCAGGCCAGCTCTCTGCTGTGGCCCGGGAGTGCAGTGGAGGATGGCCCAAGTGCTTGGGTCCTGCACCCCATTGGAGACCAGGAGAAGCACCTGGCTCCTGGCTTTGGATCAGCGCAGTGCGCCGGCCGCAGCAGCTACTGGAGGGTGAACCAACAGAAAAGGAAGACCTTTCCCTCTCTGTCTCTCTCTCACTGTCCACTCTGCCTGTCAAAAAAAAAAAAAAAAAAAAAAAAAAAAAAAAAAAAAAAAACCAACAGAGACAGAGGGAGAGAGAGAAATAGGGTATCTTTTTATTTATTTATTTATTTTTAAATTTTTTGACAGGCAGAGTGGACAGTGAGAGAGAGAGACAGAGAGAAAGGTCTTCCTTTTGCTGTTGGTTCACCCTCCAATGGCCGCCCCGGCCGGTGCACCGCGCTGATCCGATGGCAGGAGCCAGGTGCTTCTCCTGGTCTCCCATGTGGTGCAGGGCCCAAGCACCTGGGCCATCCTCCACTGCACTCCCTGGCCACAGCAGAGAGCTGGCCTGGAAGAGGGGCAACCGGGACAGAATCCGGCGCCCTGACCGGGACTAGAACCCGGTGTGCCAGCACCGCAAGGCGGAGGATTAGCCTAGTGAGCCGCGGCGCTGGCCAGAGAAATAGGGTCTAACACATAACGACTAAGTAATTGTAAATTTCTTCAGTTTTTCTGACCTTGTTTACAGAAAGGCTTCCATTAGTGAGACTCCAGAGAACTAGGTACTTCTGTGCACTGACAGAGCTTCTTACCGTGATAGATTTCAGCCCAATATCTTAGACTATTATAATAATAATGGTGATGATAATTGCTGTCACTAATTAAATAGTATTTACTATTCTAACACTTGTATTAACTCACTTGATTCTTTTTTTAAACATTCTTTTTCTTTATGTGTATACTTTTTTTTTAGATTATTTATTTATTTATTTATTCAAGAGCTAGAGTTACAGACAGTGAGAAGGAGAGACAGAAAGGTCTTCCTTCTGTTGGTTCATTCCCCAAATGGCTGTGATCGCTATAGCTCTGCCTACGTGAAGCCAGGAGCTTCTTTTTTTTTTTTTTTTTTCTTTTGACAGGCAGAGTTAGACAGTGAGAGAGAGAGACAGAGAGAAAGGTCTTCCTTCTATTGGTTCACCCCCCAAGTGGCTGCTACGGCTGGCGCACTGCGCCGATCCGAAGCCCGGAGCCAGGAGTTTCTTCTGTGTCTCCCACGTGGGTGCAGGGGCCCAAGAACTTGGGCCATCTTCTGCTTTCCCAGGCCACAGCCAAGAGCCAAATTGGAAGAGGAGCAGCTGGGACTCGAACCGGCGCCCATATGGGATGCTGGCACTGCAGGCAGAGGATTAACCTGCTGCGCCATGGCACCAGCCCCAACTCACTTGATTCTTATATAGCATGATAGGGGCAGTTACCATTTTTGGCCCCTTGCCTGTATTGTTTCCCCTTTGACTTTTCCAGGGGAGAGTAAGCCTGACTCTGGTTAGGGTTGAAATACAGTGTTTTGTGCTCCTGCATCCTTAGCTCTTCCTGTTCTCTCTTGTGTGACCCTTTATCTCCCTGGTGACCGTGACCTCTACCGCATGATTCTGGTGCTCACCCGCTTTTCACGTTGTTCCTCTGTGAACACAGGGACCTGACTGGGGATTGAATACTTAGGTTTGTTTCTTAAGTCATTTGGTATGTAATTGTTGGGGAAAACATTGGAAGTTACACAAATTGATTTAGATCTTACCATCTCCTGACTGGCCTCCCACTTTAGGCCTCAGAAGACGGGTCACTCCTCCTTCCTCTCCCAGAGCTGTGTGACAGGGCCACACTGGCCGGCGATTAACTGAGACGTGGCTCAGCTCAGTATTGTCATAGCCAGGCTTTGCATTTTTGTCATTTTTTCCTTTGAATGTGGAGTGCAAATGTTTTCTCCTTGTTTAAAGGAATTTCAGGTATCAGCAGTTAAGTCAGAGATGTGAATGGGAGGAGTAGATGGGGCAGTTGGATAAAGACAAACTTCATACAGTTTTTTGTTTGTTTATATTTTTTACACTATTCATTGTTTAAAAATTTATTTTATTTATTTGAAAGTCAGAGTTACAGAGAGGCAGAGGCAAAGAAAGAGAGGCCTTCCACCAATTGGTTCACTTCCCAGATGGCCTCAACGGCTGGAACTGCACCGATCTGAAGGAGCCAGGAGCCAGGAGCCAGGAGCTTCTTCCAGGTCTCCCATGTGGGTGCAGGAGCCCAAGGACTGGCCATCTTCCGCTGCTTTCCCAGGCCATCGCAGAGAGCTGGATCAGAAATGGAGCAGCCAGGACTTGAACTGATGCCCATATGGGATGCCAGCACTGCAGGTGGTGGCTTTATCCACTACTTCACAGTGCCGCCCCCTACACTATTCATTTTTTGAGGGTGTTTATGGGCCTAGTATTCAGAAGGAAGACTACTTTTTTTTTTTTTTAATTTTAAGATTTATTTCTTTGAAAGGCAGAATTACAGAGAGTGAGAGAGGGAGAAACAGGGAGACAGAGAGAGAAAGAGATATCTTTCATTCTGTGGTTCATTCCCCAAATGGCCCCAGTGGCTGGAGGTGAGCTGAACCAAAGCCAGTTGCCAGGAGCTTCTTCCAGGTCTCCCACATGGGTGCAGGGGCCCAAGCAGCTGGGTCATCTTCCACTGCATTCCCAGGTATAGAATGCTGGCCCCACAAAATATCTTGGTATTTTTTTAAAAAAATATTTATTTATTTTCTTTATTTGAAAGGCAAAGATAGAGAGAAAACGATCTTCCATCTGTTGGTTCATTCTCCACATGGCTTCAATGACCAGGGCTGGGCCTGGAGCCAGGAACTTATTTGAAAGGCGGAGTTCAGCCCTGCCAGCTGAAGCCGAAGCCAAGAGCTCCATCCCGGTCCCCCATGTGTGTGCAGGCGGCCAAGCACTTGGAGCATCCTCTGCTTCTTTCCCAGGCACATTAATAGGGAGCCGGATCAGAGTGGAGCTTCTGAGACTCCAACCATCGCTCATCTGGGTACTGGCATCTTCAGTACCCAGAAGAGCGAGGTGGCTTAATCCATTGCACCACAATGGCAGCCCTGCAGAACCCTTGTTTAGATTTTTTTTTTTTTTTTTTTTTGGTAAGACATGCTTTGATTACTTTGCTATCTCCTTTGTGTATCTTCTTTAGGTAATTTCTTTGTGTTGCCATGGCATACGTGAAACATCTTTTAGATGTAACAGCATTAAGTTAACGATTTCAGTCACATTCATTTATTTCTTTTCTTTTTTTTTTTTTTTTTTTTTGACAGGCAGAGTGGACAGTGAGAGAGAGAGACAGAGAGAAAGGTCTTCCTTTGCCGTTGGTTCACCCTCCAATGGCCGCCGCGGCCGGCGCGCTGCGGCCGGCGCACCGCGCTGATCCGATGGCAGGAGCCAGGAGCCAGGTGCTTTTCCTGGTCTCCCATGGGGTGCAGGACCCAAGCACCTGGGCCATCCTCCACTGCACTCCCTGGCCACAGCAGAGGGCTGGCCTGGAAGAGGGGCAACCGGGACAGAATCCGGCGCCCCGACCAGGACTAGAACCCGGTGTGCCGGCGCCGCTAGGCGGAGGATTAGCCTAGTGAGCCGCGGCGCCGGCCACATTCATTTATTTCTGTCACAGATGTTACAGATTACATCTTTTTACATTATATACCCACTAAGATATGAAGGGTCTTCAGAAAGTTAATAGAAATACATATTAAAAATTGTGCATGGAGGCTGGCACTGTGGCATAGAATGGTAAGTCTCTGCTTGCTGTACCAGCATCCCATATGGTTGCCGGTTTGAGTCCCAGCTGCTCCACTTCTGATCCAGCTCCCTGTTAATGCACCCTGGGAAAGCAGCAGAAGATGGCTCAAGTACTTGGGTCCCTGCCACCCAAATGGGAGCCACACAAGAAGCTCCTGGCTTCTGGCTTTGGCCTGGCCCAGCCATGGCTGTTGTGGCCATCTGGGGAGGGAAGCAGTGGATGGAAGATTGAGCAGTCCCTTTCTCTGTCTCTCCTTCTGTATCCCTGTGTTTGACATGAATAAACAAACAAATCTTTTAAGATAATTATTCATGGATTTCAAATTTTGTGCACTCAAATACACATCTAAAATTTTATTTTCCTTGAATTTTTTCAAGTACTCTTGTATTTGTTTGCTTTTTTTTTATTTGACAGTTAGAGTTAGACAATAAGAGAGAGAAACAGAAAGAAAGGTCTTCCTTCCGCTGTTTCACCCCCCAAGTGGCTGCTACGGCCAGAGCTACCCCAATCTGAAGCCAGGAGCCAGGCGCCTCCTCCTGGTCTCCCGTGCAGGTGCAGGGCCCAAGCACCTGGGCCATCCTCCACTGCCTTCCTGGGCCACAGCAGAGAGCTGGACTGGAAGAGGGGCAATCAGGACTATAACCTGGTGCCCATATGGGATGCCAGCATTGCATGCAGAGATTTTACCCACTGTGCCACAATGCTGGCTCCTGTTTGGTTCTTTGTTTTTAATATTTTCATCGTCATTTATATTGTCATTTTCTTCTTTCATGTAGTGTTGAAATGACAAAATGTCTTTATGAAAGTTATTTTGAATACTTTGTTACTTAATTTCGGTGCCTCCATTTCTTTAGTATGACCTCTGTGGATGGTTTGGGCCACTTCCCCTGTTTCTTCTTGTATCCTGTACCCTGTCTTGACATCCGTGCATTTGAGATAGTGGCCTCCTCTCCCAGTCTTTGTGGAATAGCATCATGTGGATAAAGGCTGTGTACAGTCTCGCTTACCAGTCAGCCTGGCTAGATATTTCGGGGGCCTTTAACCTTTGGAAGAGGCAATTTTTGCTGGACCTGTGCCTGCAGTTTCCCAGAAGTCTGCTGGGCTCTTTTTCAGGAGCTCCTCATTTCTTGTACCTCTGATGCCTGCCTGCAGCACAGCATGTCGTCTGCTTCCACAGGAGCGCTGTCTCTTTCCCTCTGTGCGCGCGTCTTTCTCCACCTCTGCTTCTCTGTAACTCTGTCTTTCAAATAAATAAATAAATATTTTTAAAAGATGATTTATTTTATTGATTTGAAATGCAGAGAGAGAGAGAGAGATAGAGAGATGAAGATAGAAAGAGATCTTCCATCCACTGGTTCACTTCCAAAATGGCCATAATAGCCAGGACTGGGCCAGGCTGAAGCCAGGAGCCAGGAGCTTTTTCTGGGTCTCCCACATTGGGACAGTTGCCCAAGGACTTGGACCGTCGTCTGCTGCTTTCACAGGCCATAGCAGAGAGCTGGATTGGAAGTGGAACATCTAGGATATGAACCGGCACCCATATGGGATGTCTGCATTGCAGGCGGTGGCCTTACCCACAATGCCACAGCGCCAGCCCCCATAAATGCATCTTTATAAAAACTAAAATAAAAAATGCAATGAAGTGACCCTTCTGTGTTGTTTACAGAGTTGAAACTGTGGGCCAGCCGGACAGAAGAGACAGCATAGGAGTGTGTGCAGAGAAGCAGAACGGCTGGGACTCTCTGCAGCGCGACCAAGCTGTGTGCGTCAGTACAAACGGTGAGGGACGCGCAGCCGCCCCCTCCTTGAAACAGATGAGTAGCAGTGTCACATGTGTTCTCCACGTCACACGAGTGTAGCCAGGGATGAGAAGGCTGCGGGCTTAAGGACGTAACTAACATGACTGTCATGTTCCCTGCAGCAAACATGAAATAATTTAATGTCTGACAGCTTTCAGGGGTGAGTGGTCCTTTCCCACCTGCTCTACAGATGATGAAAACTGAAGCCCAGGGAGGTTAAGTGTTTGGCTTCTATTCCTGGAACTTGGAAGTGACTGAGCTGGGATTTGAACTGGCCAGTCTGCCTCTTGATTCATTGAGCAGAGATCATCTGAGCTTTCCCATATTGGATGGCAGATGAGGGAGCCAGGGGGAACGAAGCGATCTTGCGGTTTCCTAGGATGTAGTTTTGTGAGGCGGTCCAGTTTCTTTTGGAACACTCAGTCTGTTGAGAATGGGTAGAATCCGGGGCCAGAACTCCAGTGGGATCAAGGCTGTAACTTCCTGCTCTCACAGTGATGGGGGTTAACTGTATTGAAATGCATTATCCGTGTCCCGTCGGCATTCTTGTCATTCCAAAATGTGTTCTTTTTCTGAGTTAGGAAATGAGCTGTGTTACCAGTCATTCAGTTCTCTTAAAGTTACCGCTTGCACGGAAGTGACTCCTCACCTTAACATTTTAGGTGCAGTGTTTGTAAATGGAAAAGAAATGACGAATCAGCTGCCTGCAGTTACTTCTGGGTCCACTGTCACGTTTGACATCGAAGCTGTGACTCTAGGAACTGCCAGCGCTAATGAAGGCGGCAACTTCAAGCTTCGAGTAACCATCAGCTCTAATAACAGAGAAGTAGTTTTTGATTGGTTGCTTGATCAGTGCTGTGGCTCTCTCTACTTCGGATGCTCATTTTTCTATCCTGGGTGGAAAGTGTTAGTGTTCTAGATTTTTGGATGCTTGGCTTAGGTTTGCAGTGTTAACTGTAGCTGTCCTCACTTTAGCTTAGCTGTGATGGATTAAAAAAATATATATAGTTTAATTCATCTCTGAGGCCATTGGAAATGGAATGTGTTTACTGGAGTCATTTTATAATATTTTGGCAATAAGGGACTTGATTGTTGACAAAACCATAATTCAGTCACTTTTGCTTTTGGCATTCTGCCAACTGAAGTATTACATCACAGAAAAAAAATAGGTTGACTTTTAAAGTATGACAAGGTACAGAAAGTCTATGCCCTACCACTGTATTTCTTCCTAAAACTGATTATTAGAAACTTTTAGTGTAACATTGCTTTATTAAATCTCCATCAAGCTCCATATTAAACTTTAAAATAGAACAACAGGAATGGGCCAGACAGAAGCCAGAGTTCTGTGGCGTCCGTGCAGTCGTGTGCCCTCCGCGAGAGCGTGTTGGCTGTTGGCTCTGTGTGCTGGCCTCAGGTTTTTTTTCTTTTTTCTTTTTTTTTTTTTTTGACAGGCAGAGTGGACAGTGAGAGAGAGAGAGAGAGAGAAAGGTCTTCCTTTGCCGTTGGTTCACCCTCCAATGGCCGCCGCGGCCGGCGCGCTGCGGCCGGCACACCGCACTGATCCGATGGCAGGAGCCAGGAGCCAGGTGCTTTTTCTGGTCTCCCATGCGGGTGCAGGGCCCAAGCACTTGGGTCATCCTCCACTGCACTCCCTGGCCACAGCAGAGAGCTGGCCTGGAAGAGGGGCAACCGGGACTAGAACCCGGTGTGCTGGCGCCGCTAGGCGGAGGATTATCCTAGTGAGCCGTGGTGCCGGCCTGGCCTCAGGTTTTTGTAAGCATGAATTCTGTACCATGTTCAGTCATCTTTAACGCCCAAAAGCAACAGAATTTTTGTTTTTTTTTTTTTAAAGAATGCTTGAGCACATGTCTGTGATTGGCAGGTATTATCTTTAGTTCTTTCCTTATATTTAGATTCAAGGTGGGCTCAAGGATTTTTCCAGGGTAGAACTAATGGAGGTGGCGTGCACAGCAGTGTTAGCTGTGTCACACAGGGATGAGCGCGTGGGCCTGCCTGGCCTCAGTGACGCATATGTTGCTATTTGTAGGTCTGCGCCGCAGTCCAGGTTAGGGTCAGTTTGATAAATGGTCTTTTAGTGGACCAAAAAAAAAAAAAAAAAAAAAAAACCAAACCACAAATAGGGAAAGTACGTAACCTATTTTTTTAAAAACTTAAGATTTGTGTAAAATATTTATTTGAAGGACTTAAGATGTAAAAATAATGATGTTAACTTGCTTTGTCAGCCTACAGATATTTTTAATGTGAATTTTTTTTTCATTTTTACCAATAGGAAAGTGGAAAACAGGTTTGATATTTTTGTAAGATAATTTATTTGGGGAATCACATTCCCTGTTAGACAATCATGATCTTTTCTCCTTGCCTTTTTATATGTAAGTGAGTAACCTTTCACACTTGTTTACTGATTGTTAAGAAAGTGTCCTAGACTATAGATGCCTTGTCCAGTTGTCTGAAACAGAATAAAAAGCTAAAAGTTAAGTGTGTACAGTTTTTCCTCCATGAAACCTGATTAACCCAATGTGAATTTACTTTTTATTGGAAGGGAAAAGCGTTTCTTGTGGCTGTAGGCATTTTAATTAAATGTCGGTATCGCTCGTGTGAGGTCGCTGGTACTTTGTTATGTTCTGTCTGTCTGCTCCCCAGCGTAGTGCCTGATAGTTCCCGTGTGGGATCACTGTCCAGAGGACTGAACCAGCCGAGTCATCTCCTCCAGACCTGTCCGCTGGCTCCCTTCGTTCGCCAGTCTCTCGAATGCATTTGTCCCTTAAGCCCTGTAGGAAAAGGCCGTCTTACATTTGTACCTATCGTCTTTGCCTTTGCACGGAGTGGCTTAAACTTAATCCTAGACAAGAGTGGATTATAATATTTTGAATTTTGAAATTAATTTAAAATTTTTTTTGCTTGAACTGCAAACTTGAGGGTTGTTTTGTTTTGTTTTACAAAGCTAACTCATTCTGTTAAAAAAGATGAAAGAACCTAGATTCTAAAACTGTTTGTATGCTTGGAGAGAAGAGAGAATTTGGGTGATGATAGGATAATAAGAACTACACACTGTGTGTTAGGCATCATGTTGAATTTTCTTTCTTTCTTTTCTTTTTTCTTTTTCTTGACAGGCAGAGTGGACAGTGAGAGAGAGAGAGACAGAGAGAAAGGTCTTCCTTTGCCGTTGGTTCACCCTCCAATGGCCGCCGCGGCTGGCGCACCGCGTTGATCCAAAGGCAGGAGCCAGGTGCTTCTCCTGGTCCCCCATGGGGTGCAGGGCCCAAGCACTTGGGCCATCCTCCACTGCACTCCCTGGCCACAGCAGAGAGCTGGCCTGCAAGAGGGGCAACCGGGACAGAATCCAGTGCCCCGACCGGGACTAGAACCCGGTGTGCTAGCGCCGCAAGGTGGAGGATTAGCCTAGTGAGCCGTGGCGCCGGCCCGTCTTTTTTTTTTTTTTTTAATTAAGATTTATTTGAAATAGTTACAGAGAGACAGAGACAGAGAGAAGTCTTCCATTTGCTGGTTCACTTCCCAAATGGCCACAACTGCCAGGGCTGGGCCAGGCCAAAGCCAAGAGCCTAGAGCTTCATCTGGGTCACCCACGAGGGTGCAGGGGCTCAAGCACGTGGGCCATCTTCCGCTGCTTTCCCAGGTGCATTAGCAGGGAGCTGGATAGAACATGAAACAACCAGGACGTGAACTGGCACTGATACGAGATGCCAGCGCTGCAGGCGGCAGATTTACCTGCTGCACCACAGTGCTGGCCCCTGTTATTTCCACTCTACGGATGAGAAAACTTAGGTTGAAGAGACGTGAACTGGCTTGTCTAAGGTCATGGCCAGTAACTAGCTTTGCCAGGACTCCCCAGAGCCCCATGTGCTCACGGGAGGTTTCTGTTTCTCTCCTGGGTCTCAGCTCTTACCCATGGTGCTCGTGGCAGGGGCGGGCCCAAGGGAGAGCCCCAACAGTGACAAGTGGAAGAAATGGCTAGAATGTTACTGAGGCTAGCCTGAAGGAATCTTCACAGGAGCTCCAAGAACAAGCACTCTGTGAATCAGTTCTTGAAAGACGAATGGAAATTCAGTAAGGTTAAAGCTGGCATCCGAAACAGAGGGGACAGGGTGTGTTAGGGCATCCCCCAAGACCCTGGTGATGGCAGTGCTGTGGGAGGCTGGGGTGTTTAGAGGGTGCCAGGACTGGAGAGAGGTCAGGAAGAACAGACTGGGGTCAGATTATGTGATCTTGTATGCTATGTTAAAATATTGGTATTTAATCTTAGAGATAAGATTTAGTTTCAAACCATGAGTTGGAGTGATAGATACCAATTAGCAAGCTGTGATCCATAAAAGTCAGTAAGGTGTGAAATGAGCCAGTGGCAGCAGGGACTGTATATCCAATACTTTTTTTTTTTTTTTAATTTATTTGACAGAGTTAGACAGTGAGAGAGAGAGACAGAGAGAAAGGTCTTCCTTCTGTTGGTTCACCCCCCAAATGGCCACCATGGCTGCAGCTACACTGATCCAAAGCCAGGAGCCAGGTGCTTCCTTCTGGTCTCCCATGCAGATGCAGGGGCCCAAGCACCTGTGCCATCCTCCACTGCCCTCCTGGGCCACAGCAGAGAGCTGGACTGGAAGAGGAGCAACCAGGACTAGAACCCGGCGCCCATATGGGATGCCAGCACCACAGGTGGAGGATTAACCAAGTGAGCCACGGTGCCAGCCCCTCCAATACATTTTTGAATGGGTCCCAGAGGACTTGACTGAAGTAGGAGTAGGGATAAAGGAGCATTCAGTTGGATTTCACTGGTTGGTGACATCCGTGTTAGAGAAGTAACGGTCGTCCCGATGTCACCACTGAAGTACAATACTGTGTTTAGTTTATGGGTATACTTTATGTTTTCAGGGTTTTACTTATTTTCATTTATTTGAAAGGCAGAGCAGCCAAGAGACAGAAATCATCCATCCGCTGGCTTGCTCCCTGGGTCAGGCGGAAACCAGGGTCCAGAACTCTATTACTTGAGTCTCCCATGTGAGGGGTAGGAATCCAAGGACTTGAGCCATCATCTGCTGCGCGCCCAGGCTGTGGATCAGAGGCTGGGAGGGACTTGCCCTGGTACTCTGACACGAGACGCGTCACAAGAGGCATCTTAACCGTTGCACCACATGCCTACCCCATTGTATTTTTTTAAAGATTTACTTACTTACGGAAAAGGCAAAGCTAGAGAGAGAGAGGGAGAGACAGATCTTCGGTCTGCTTGTTTGATCCCACAAAACTGCTGTGCCACAGCACAATACTGGCACCACCTTGAACTTTGCAGTGATGAAATTGATGAAATGCAGTTTGTTTAAAGAAATGTCTAGGGGGCTGGCACTGTGGCATAGTGGGTAAGGCCGCTGCCTGCAGTGCTGACATCCCGTATGGGCGCCAGTTCGAGTCCCAGCTGCTCTTCTTCCGATCCAGCTCTCTGCTATGGCCTGGGAAGTCAGTAGATGTTCCAAGTCCTTGGGTCCTTGTACCCATGTGGGAGGCACGGATCTAGCTCCTGGCTCCTGGCTTCGGATCGGCACAGCTCCGGCTGTTGCGGCCAATTGGGGAGTGAACGATCGGATGGAAGACCTCTCTCTCTCTCTCTTCTCTCTCTTTCTCTGCCTCTCCTTCTCTCTCTGCATAACTCTGATTTTGAAATAAATAAATAAGTTTTTTTAAAGATTTATTTATTTTGCTTGCTAGGAAAAATTCTGGCAAAGTGCCTCTGCATAAGAGATTTGCTGCTTTACTGAACAGAATGTTTTTTGCTCTATATTTCCTCTCTGCCCCTAAGCGCTCTGTATAAACAGCTAAGAATTTTAACGTCCCTCCGCTCTCCTTAGATGCGTCTTTTTCACATACGGTGTTAGAGTTTCCATTACACATCTGTTCTGCGGATGCAGTCCTTTTGCAGTTAAAGTGTACGGGATGGCTCTGGAAGTCTGAGGTAATAGTAGTGTGCCAGCCAGAGGCCGCTGACGAGGTAGCTAAAGCAGAATCCCGTGGACAGCATTTACAGGTGCAGGGTCGCCACCCCCAGAGCTCGGGATACAAGCTGGTGGAGACACACCACCAAGAGTCTGACAGATAAGTGAACAAGAGAGATCCAGAATAATCCATAGGCACTCACTGGAAAGAACCACAGAGCAATTTGGAAATAGCGGGCAAAGCCTGTGGCATTTGCCTCTGCAGCACCAGGTGACTGCAAGGGGCCCATGTTAAGTGTGACCACTGATTTGCCAGAGGGACTCCCGGAGCTCAGCTAAACTGTTAGACCCCAAACTACCATTTGTTGAACAAAAGGAGACAGCAGTAGGCACTCAGGAAGAGACTGGAGACCTTCTGGTTGTCCTCTCCCAGTGGAGTTGTGTGGACAGCACTTCATTCATTTTTCCTTTTTATAAAATATTGGTTTATTAAAAATGCAGAGAGAGACATTGGCATCTTTCATCCCCACTGGTTCACTCCCTTAATGGCTGCAGCTGTCTGGGCTGGGCCAGGGTGAAGCCAGGAACCTGGAGCTTCGGGGTCTCTCACGTGTATGGCAGCGGCCCATACTTGGGCCATCTTCAACTGCTTTCCCAGGTGCATTAGCAGGGAGCTGGATCACAAGTGGAGCAGCCAGGACTTGAACCAGCACTCTGCTATAGGATGCCGATGTCGCAGGCAACAGCTTAACCTGCCGTGCCACAGTGCCAGACGCAGATAGTGCTTGAATTCAAGTAACAATGTGAGACAACACAGGGAAGTTCACCCGAGCCTTGGTTTCTGTTGGTTTTTGGCCTCTGTCAGACATGTAGACATGGCTTCTGCACCACATGAATGACCTTTAGTTTCTCCTTCTGAGGTCAAGCTGAGCAACCACATGGCTCAAGACCCCCAAAGTAAGCAAGGGTACTCTTACTGGGCAGGATATGGCGAAGTCCAAACCTTCAGAAATAGGATGGATGGGGTGGGCATTTGACATAGCAGTTAGTCTTAGCTTAGGACACCTGCATACCCTATTGAGCTACTAGGATTTGCATTGCGAAGTTGCTCCTATTTCCTGCTTCCTGCTAATGCACACCCTGGGAGGCAGCAGGTGATGGCTCAAGTGCTTGG